GGTTTTGTCTCCGCTCTTCCTGCAATTCCGACTCGATCTTTGCCCGTATTAGCTCGGCATCCGCCTGGTTTTTCGTCGCCGCATCCTCCCTCTGCTGTTGCAAGGTTTGGTATAGCTTCTGTGTGACCGCCAGGTGCTGTCGGAGGGTAGCGTTCCTATCCTGCAATGTTTGGCACCTAGAGGCCCAAGTGGCCACCTTGCTCCTCGTCCTGCGCTTGACAGTCTCCACGTAAGACTGCGGTTTTCCGGTACCCGAGTACTTGGATGTCTTGCGATCCAGATATCGCAGGAGTGGAACTATCTGCTCGCACAACACCCCTGTTGGCGTTTTCTGCACAGAGTCCGCTTCCTGCTCTTCCGAGCTCGTCTCATCCTCCGTTTCGAGGATTTCAGTCGCCACCGAATCCCTTGGCGACTCCCTGGAACTGTGGCGCGCAGCGGCTTCCGCCGCGACTGCCGCTCCACTCCCTGCTAAAATATCCAAGGCAGTGGGGGATCCCACTGCTTGAGCCCCTGTTCCGGCTCGATCTTCGGTTTCCGAAGGGGTCGACGCCGCAGTGACTTTTGTCACCTTTGCACCGCCCGCTTCTGCTGCCTGCACTTCCGGCGCGGTCTGCGCGGAAGGTGTCTTCGCTGGAGGTGCGTCCGCCGAAGGCGTCCGCACACTGGTCGCCGGCCCTATCCGTCTCGCAGTTGGCGAATCTGGCCGACTCTCTGTTGACCGACTCGCAGTCGGCCGACTAGCAGGTGTCCGACTGGCAGTCGGATACACCCTGCGCGTCTTCACTCCACTTGGCCTGCTTGCTGGCGGCGTTTTCCCAGAAGTGCCTTCCGCCGAAGACGACCCTCTGAGGGTTGTTGGCTCGTCAGCCAAACTCTCTTCTGCTTCCGGCCTGCTGTCCGATTCAACGCGCCGCTCCGTCGGCCTTCCTTCCGTTTGTCAACCTTCAGTCGCCCGACTCGTAGTCGGCCGATTGTCAGTCTGTCTGTCTTCTTCCGAAGGCATTGGTGCCTTCTGCGCAGAGGTATTTGCCGACTTCCCCAGAATCTGCGCAATTATATCCTCCTGCGTGGGCAGGATACTCCGCCGGACCGGAGTACGCCCGGTCTCCTCAGTACTAGTTGGCATTTTGCGTGCCCTCTGTTTCGGTCGGCTGTGAGGCTCGTTGGTTGGCCGACTACGAGACGGCGCAGCTGGCACTTCCGGCTGCCTGTCCTCAGGTCTCTCATCCCACTTCCGCTTTCGCGGAACGCGCTCACTTCGACGTTCTTCTGCTGCTCTTGCTGGGGGCGGAGCCGGAGGCGGACTGGCGGGTGCCTCGTCCATTGCTGACGGCGAATATCCCGCCGGCGCAAATCATGCCAGCGCATCCGCCTATCAGCGCCACGTCGGAGGCGTACATCCGGCCGGCGCGTTTCTTCCGTTTCGCAGCCGCCACAGGCGCTTCCGACTCTGAGTTGATTTCCTCCCATGAGCGCGTGATTCCGCCGAAGGCGCATCGCCGAAGGCGTACGGGAGTCCTTTCCGACTGTGAACCCTAGCGCGAACGGCGCATGTCCGGCTACGAGTTTTCCGACGCTCATAACTTCTTCGTCCCTGATCCATCTCCGACGCTCTTGGGCTCGTTAGGACGAGCGTCCCGAGCTCTTTCCAATGCAACTTCAATCAATTGGAACTACCGTGTATTCCGATCGTTATGAAGGTCTCCCTTTCCGCGCTAGCGGCGCATCGCCGAAGTCGCACTCATGGTCGGAAGCTTTCAGAGGCCCGTGCCGTTCTTCTGACGTTTTTAGCAAAATCTCCTCCGGAGGTGTCTGCGCCGGAAGCGTAGCTTCCTTAAACGCTGGGAGCGCGTGAGTAGAGACATCTCAGAAAAGGAGCTTTTGCCAAAGGCGCCAAAGACATTTGGCGCTGGTACATCCGACTTCGCGATTCTTCGTAACCTCGTGACGATCTCCTCAATCCACTCTATTTAACGTACCCTTTTCTAACTACAGACACTGCTTCGGTACTTGTTTTCTAAAATTGTTTAAATTCTGCAAAAAAAAAACAAAAAGTGTGTTACCACATTTTCCTACGAACTCTGTTGGTGAACTGGAAAAAATTTGTTGAAAATGTCGAAGCAAATATTTGCCACGTGCTACTGACAGTCATTATTTGATATGTTATGTCACTAGTAGAAAATAGTGACGTATCGTTCTTATTTGATAGATTTTAAGCTACGATCTAATGGTTCTTCACTTTTAAGTCACTATTGGGAGAATGTCACTACTAAGAGATGGCATTATTGGAAGGCGAAACTCTGTACACAATCATTCAGTAAGACAAAGTGACAATACAATCATGAATAAAATATTTCCACTGATTTTAAAATGAAAATTTTTTCCCAATTTTTTGTTTCAGATTGATATATTTTTATTATTGTTGGAAGTAACAATTAAAGTGGATGGTTTATTAGTGAGAGTTGGATACCTTAAGTAGCCAAGGAGTTATGGTTGATCTTTATTATCTACCGTCAATATAACTGACTAGAATGTAGGAAAAGAAGAAAAAAAAGATTCAACATATTATTCTAATCTTCTTAGTAAAAGCATTTGATACCCTATATACTAACAACATACACTTTCAAGGGTAGTACCCTAAAAGTCTTCGGGCTATTGCTACAAAGGCAGCGCACTAAATCTTAAGAGCATGTACTTCGGTACATCATCAAACATCAAATTCTGATTGGAACTGAAGACGATGTATTGTAGTGTAGTGATGAGTACGTGGTAATAGTCAAGTGGAATTATGTGGCTCCTAGTGACAAATTTGTAACTCCGCATGACTAATTTTCAGTCCTATAAAGAAAAAACATGAATGTCAGATAACGAGCAAACTCCAATAGATTTACTATGCTTTTCAAATTTGTGTTTCGGTAGTGACTTTGAGAGCAAATGAGCTGAATTCTCCTCAATGTGAATGTACTTGAGGTCAATTTCCTCCTCTAATGCCCTATTTTTGATGAAATGATGTTTACCTTCAATGTGTTTTATCTTTGCGTGGAGCAGAGGAGTTTTTGCTAGATTAATAGTACTCAGGTTGTTGCAAGATAGGTGCAAATCTACAATGGTCGATGTCGCTGTATCCCTAAGACCGTGAACTATTGTAGAATCAGGCCTGGAAAGCAAAAACTTTAGAAAATGAAGCATTCTTAATTCTTGTATTAACCGTTTGAGATACAAGGTCCCATTGCCACTTCTGACAAGATCTTTCATTTCAATTCAATTGTGCTATCAAAAACAGTGGAATGTTGTTTGGACGATCATGAGACAGGTTAGTTTGAGAGCTTAAAAAAAAAAGCAGATATTAGAACAACTAAGGAAATGTTTGTCATTATTTTTGTAAAGCAAGCCAAAGTTAACTGTGACATTGAAATACGTTTATTGCACTTTAGGCATAAACCGACTAAAAAGTTCAATAGCATATAAATTTCACAAAATTCGTCACATACAGCACTATCATTGTTCTAAGAGTAAAACTAAGATTTACGGGAGCAAAGATCCTGATGTAGTCCACTTCATATGTTTGCTCCAAGCCACAATCAACAAGCTTGGCTTTCAGACATATCTATGTGGGATTAATCTTGTGTTAAGAAATTAGTGTTGTTTTGACTTCATCAATGAATTTCCAAATGAGATTGGTAAAAAGAGCGTCAAATTTCTCTAGCATTGCTTTGCATCAATCCAGGTGAAGCTTTGCTTGATGAAATGAAATCTGATCATTAATTGATTGAATCGTTTCAATGCCATTGAATTGAGATGTGCAGAGGTGTAATTATTAAGAGTGCTGATAGTTGTCGCATCCTTGAAGAATTACGCCATGAAATATGCATGCTTGCAACAATGAAGATCTAGAAGATTGGATGTTGTATGTGTGAAGTAGTATTAGAATAAGTCAAAGTGTTGATCATTGTTAGTTTAGTAATAACTAAATCTAACTGGTCATGACTAATTATAACTAGTTATAACTTTGTTTAGCTAGGATATTTATACTTGACGGAATAATTTAAAAAAATTTAAAAGATTTGAATGAGCACTACTTTTTTGTTTTAGATCAAATTCTAGATCGGAAGTAGAAAAAAATTTTGAACATATGTTAGTTTTGATTAGTTTAATTAAATAATGAAAATTTGATTGACCACATTAAGTTTGGGGTTGACTTAGTAATGATAAGTGAAGATTTTAGAACTTTCAACATCTCAAATGGCATGTCGCCATCTCAAAACAGAGACAAGAACATTTATAGAAAATTTGGATGTACCAATAGCATGTTCTCACGTTGAGATTTATTTTATTGAGATTTAGTCAAACCTAGCAAGGTGTGTTGTAATAAATAATAAATTTCACATGTTTATTATTTCTTAGTTTTGATAATTTTTCAATTAATATATATATAGGATAATCACTCAAGTAATTTTGGAAGTTCATTGTATGACTAATTACTTTATTTATATAAATTTGAGTTTCGTTATTTTGTTTGGTATTATCATTGAATGTTTGCCATTGAATGGAAAATTCATAATAAAATATCATCAAATCTATGAAAATAACTAAATGCATGTAAAAAAATTTCAATAGAAAAAATTGATCTCAATATTTCATAAAAAAATTAAAATTTATTTATTTATTTATTTATAGACATTATCTATTAAATCACAAAAATTAACTGTACTCAAATATTAGTGCTTAAAATTTTGACTTTGATTAATGTCTTAGAATTTGATTACAAAATTTATTGATTTGACTTTAAGAAAGAAAAAAAACAACAAATATCAAAAATTATTTCAAATATAAATCATTTATTTTTTAAATTGCAAACATAAGGAAAATCTCATTTATCCTGATTCATATAAAATCTATATAAGGAATCTTATACTAAGTGTCTAAAATTCTCTCTAGATTCTTGCTAAATAAAATTATGTGAAAAATACATAAATAACAAGATTAATTTTACTCCCGAATAATATAGACAAATTTCGTTCCATCTGGTTCAGCTTTCAAACATATATTTTTATTTCGCTCGATCATACTTTTTCTATGGACCGTGGTCTTAAAGAGCTCATATGGAGGAAGAATGTAACTGACGTGCCATTTAATTATCTATCACGAGTATCACGTGACCCCACAATCCATGAGAAAGACATACAAGACAACAAGCGTCACATAGTGCGAGCTCGCCGACATGGCGACCTCGAGCGCAACCTCGACGCAGACGTGTCAAGATGACGTGGAGAAGCGCCCGTCGCGCTGTCGCTGGGGTACCTTGCCCGCTTCGTACATTGGCCTGCAAGTGCTGCCCATGCTGTACGAGGAACGAGAAATTGCTCGAGCCCTGAGGAGCATCTGAGCTCGCGAGCATCGCCGATGCACGAGCAGAAGCGTCGAGCCCGAATCGCCGATCGTCGCTCGAGGATCAGGCGACTGACAGAGAGTCCTGGAAGTCGGCGGTGGAGCTCAATCTGATTCTGATTTCGCAACATTTGTGATCGAGCGTATCGTCAATTTGCTGTCGGACTAGTTTCCAGTCGATCGAGCGAGGAAAGGAATCATCGATTGAATGCTCGTTCGCTTCCAACTCAATGGAGCCAGGAGCAGCTTACAGTGGTCGTTGCATGTGAGCGATTCGATCTGACCTCAGACGTTTAGGTCATGCCAGTGACGATGTTCCAAGCATCGAGAGCTTTCGACACTCTCGGGCCTCTGCTCTGACACTGGGAAGCGTCTCTGTACCATTTTGCAGGTGGCGATTTCTGATCGATCCAGCTCCCGGCATGAGTTGCAAATTCATGCAGTTCCATTAGGTAGCTCCTGCGGTCGGGTACAGACGCAGGGAACAACGAAGCGCAGCAATCGGGGGAAGAGCTCGATCTGCAGCAAAGGATTGGCTGCGAGTTGGGGCCCAAGATGGCAGAGACCAGTGCCAGGGATTCAGCAGAGGAAGGAGGACGTAACGTAGGGATTTGTGGCGATGGAGGAGCTCGTGAAGCACCGGCAGCTGGAGGAAGCGGGTCGATTCCACCGCCGACGAATCCCTTGGTCACCCCTCTGCTGACAGATATGTACCAGGTGACGATGGCCTACGCTTACTGGAAGGCCGGGAAGCAGAACGACCGAGCCGTCTTCGATCTGCTGCACCGCAAGAATCCCTTCGGTGGAGAGTACACGGTGTTCGCGGGGCTGGAGGAATGCGTGCGCTTCGCAGCCAATTTCCGCTTCACAGATGCCGACATCGAGTATCTGAGGACGGTGATGCCGCCGGTGTGCGAGGACGGGTTCTTCAGCTTCCTGAAGGCCGTGGACTGCTCGGAGGTCGACATCCATGCCATCGCTGAAGGATCCGTCTGCTTCCCTCGAGTGCCTCTGCTTCGCGTGGAGGGCCCTCTTCTGGTCGTGCAGCTGCTGGAGACCACGGTCCTGACGCTCGTCAATTACGCTTCTCTCGTCGCCACCAATGCTGCCAGGTTCAGAAAAGTGGCCGGCCACGACAAGCTGCTGCTGGAGTTCGGCCTGCGCAGAGCTCAGGGCCCCGATGGAGGAATCAGCGGGTCCAAGTACTGCTACCTGGGAGGGTTCGATGCCACGAGCAATTTGGAGGCGGGGCAGAGGTTCGGAATCCCGGTGCGTGGCACTCACTCGCACGCCTTCGTGAGCTCGTACATGAGCTTCGACGAGATCATCGACCGGAAATTGCAGCGCAGTGATGGCTCGAGCACCTGCGAGGATTTCGTCCTCCTCACCATGCAGTGCTTGAAGCGAATGCAGGGCGCTCCATCGCTGCAGCACTGGTTCGGAGAGACGAACCACAGCGAGCTGGCAGCCTTCACATCCTACGCGCTGGCATTTCCCACCGCCTTCCAGGCCCTGGTCGACACTTACGATGTTCTGAAGAGCGGAGTTCCCAATTTCTGTGCAGTCGCGCTCGCCCTGCACGAGCTGGGATTCAAAGCCGTGGGCATCCGTCTCGACTCGGGAGACCTGTCATATTTCTCGGTCGAGTCTCGGAAATTCTTCAGAGCCGTCGAGAAGGAGTTCGGAGCGCAAGGATTCGGGAACATGGTCATCACCGCCAGCAACGACATCAACGAGGACACTCTCGATGCGCTGAACAAACAGGGGCATGAAATCGATGCGTATGGAATCGGCACGCAGCTGATCACGTGCTACAAGCAGCCGGCGCTGGGCTGCGTGTACAAGCTGGTGGAAATCAATGGCCAGCCGAGGATCAAGCTCTCGGAGGATGTGACCAAGGTCACCATCCCCTGTAAGAAGCAGTGCTACAGGCTGTATGGAAAGGAGGGCTACGCGCTGGTGGATTTGATGGTGGGCGACGACGAGTCGCCACCTCGAGCAGGAGAACGCATCCTCTGCCGCCACCCATTCAGCGAATCGAGAAGAGCATTCGTCGTGCCCAGTCGCGTGGAGCCTCTGTACAAGTGCTACTGGAGTGGATCGTCCGGAGCTCCCAGAGAGCCACTTCCGTCTCTGGAGGAGCTGAGGGAGCACTGCCGGAGAGAATTGGAGGCCCAGCGCTCTGATCATGTGCGTGCTTTCAATCCCACGCCTTACAAGGTCAGCGTCAGTGCCAAGTTGTACGACTTCATCCACTTCCTGTGGCTCAACGAGGCTCCAGTTGGAGAACTTCATTGATCCTCGATGATTTGGTTGGGGTTGCAAAATTGGGTGTCTGATGGCACAGACTGGTGTACATTCTTCGTGGGCTTTCGGTCCAAACTGCCACAGATTCCAAGATATATTGAATGGGTCGGGATTTACCTCAAGGTACTCTTTTCGTGACTGGAGCGGACATTGATGAAGAGAACCGAACCATTAGACTTGATAGAGCCCTGCAGCATTCACTCGAGTGACATTCTTTGTTTATTGCTATTATCATGAAGCGTGGAGCAGTCTGTCGAGTTTGTAGATACTGAACGTGTGAGTTTGGTACATTTCGCCATTGAATCATGAATTTACTAAACCTCAACCTGTGATGATGCTGCTGCTGCACACTAAAGCAGATCAACATCTTTCTGAGTCGTTCCATGGACGAAGCTGGTGGGGACTTCCAAAGAAGATTGCAGTTTCGTCGCCAGAAGGGACGAATTAGCGATTGAAAGCAGTAAGGTACACGGAGATACGCAGGCGATCGAAAACATTGATTCAGCTTCTAATCACCGTCGCTCCATCACCCTTCTCACGCTATTCTCGCACGGCTTATCTTTGCCTCCACCAAAGCATGCACACAAACATCGTGGAGCAGAAGTGGACGAAAGTGTTCATCTAAATTAATCCGTGAACCACCGGAAAACTGTCATCGCCTGTACGACTACCCCACGTAACCATCTCGTTCGGATCATTCCTTTTCTCCTCGGGCTCTGTAGATATGCACCGACTCATCAGGCAGACATGAAACATCTGGGCCTGTATCATCGTTGCACCTACGAAGATAATATTTATCCTCCTGTAGTGCGCGTAATATCCGCTCGACTCTCGGCGGCGAGTGTGGTGAGGTCTTTCAGAGGAAGATGATACTTATTTCAGGCCATGAGACCATGACCATTCCTCGGCAGCAGTGAGGAAAGTCTGGTCCTGGACATCACATGTTTAGCATCACGCACATGAAACTCGTATGAGCGGAAGGTCGGATGATGACCATTAAGATCATGGATCGACTACTTCTGGAGTCTGGCAAGTATCGTCCAATTATACATTCCTAATTTGTGAGTAGAACAGGAAGCTAAAGGTGATGTGCAGACGTCACTGAACGACTGGAATAACTAGGGACTGTAGAATGGTTCCACACAGCGGATAAGTTTGTTCTGATTAGAAGGGAACGCAGAAGAAGCGGAGCACGAGCTCGTTCTTCTTCAGAATACAAAGAACAGCAGGAACCTCCCGATTCTCATGATCAGTGAATAATTGTCGTGTGGACTCCTTCCACGTTCGTACCTCCATGCAAGGAGGCAAAAAAGCAGAAGTTTTCCACAGGTGGTCTTCACGGCCGTCGGTGATGATGATACGTCCCTACCAGAGCCCCCGAGAAGCGCATCATCAGTCGACAACCATTAAACAAATCTACGACCTTTTCTCAGGTTTGGCAAGCTGGAGCCGTCAGGAAGGTAGGCCTTGATTCCCTGAAGCGAAAAGAACAAATTGCCGGTTTCGGATAAGCTAAGCTGGGCCCTCTTGTAAATATGGCAATCCAGTCTGTGCTCAAGTCCTCGTTACGAATATCTGAATCTCGATGTTCATGAACGTGAAGAAGAAGGAGGAGGAGGAGGAGGAGGAGGAGCAATCCAGTGACAGTGAGTAAGCAAGTTTCGAGATCAAGTAGCAGTTCTCCATTTGGAATCATTCTGTGGCACGTAATGATGCAAAACTGCAAGGTACGTGGATATAGACTCTTTAAATCTTCTTGCCATGGCCATACAAGAAGTGGGCCCAATGGCCGTCCACAACTCCCACCAACAAGGGACTGTGTTTCCGGGGGTGCAATCGAGCAAAGCCTCAGATAACAGACACGTGATGAACTAATGGTTTCCTCAGTAATCAGTGACTCCTCCACGAACTCGATGGCAACCAATAGCACGAGGAACCAATCGGTGATGGGTGGATGGGCTGATGATGTAGGAGGAGCAGATTGTCGTAGAAATTGTTCAAAACGAGGATCACTGTGTTGCAATGAGGCCAGTGAAAAAGAGTCATTGTAGGAAGAGCAATGATTGTGAAGGCTGCGCGTCCTGTTCCATTTCTGATGTTTTATGGATAGAGCAGGAACTGCAGTGTATACGTCAATCTGCACTTCGAGCTGGTTCGCTGTAGCATGACTCCGCGAGCATATTTCTCTACATACACGGCCATGTTCAGATCGAAACCACGTCCTGTATACAGTTTGACTCGGATCGTGTCGCCAGAATTCGGACAAACGTTCTTGATACAATCTGACGTTTGTAGGGTACAATCAACTTGGGAAATTTAGTCCTAAAAATATCTATCACCATCATGCAACAGGACAGGAGACCCTTTTTATTTCCACTCTGCTCGAGCAATTTGTAATTCATGTGATAGTAGGTGGCACGGCAGAAGCCGGATCAAACGTGCCAACTCTTCACGTTGCGAATGAATGAAGTGGACCGAAGCTGAAGATTTAATGATGGGAGCCAGACAAATGCACTAGTCGGAGTCCGTGTGGGAGTATCGTGATCAGTGCATGCGAGGCTCAGCAGAAATCATTTACGACACCGAGACAATCGGAACTTCACCCTGAAGATGTTCCCACAATTTCCGTGATCATGTACTGGTGTGTGTTTCTTGGTGAATCAAGTCTAGTTTGAAGGTCCCCAAGAATACGGCTAGAAGAGGATGACACGACGGTACGTACCTGATCTGGAATCCTGAGCTCAGCAGATGTTGAGACGGGTTCTTCACAGTTCACGAGGCCCTTCTGCTCTGGCCCGACCAAAAAGCAAACGGTCATGTTACAGTCTCTCACACGACCCATCGTCCAAGAGGAAGATAGATGTGGGAGATTGGTCACGGCAGCCACTGTTTTCCTCCCCCACCTCGACATACATTGTTCTGTTATCGTAATGCTTTTGTCTTCATTGTTGAGGTCTGCAGCAAAACTGAACGATTTTGGTTTTCCCCAACAGTTAAGATGCAGATTTCCAATCACCCTTCGTGTGAGTTATTATTTCAGTCGGATGTGGAAGCTCATGAAAGCAGAGCAAATTGAGGAGATCGGTATTAAGGAAGAGTGCAGAATTATCATGTCATGTTCTGAGGATAGTTTTACTTTCTTTCAAATTTTATTGTGTGTCAAATTTAGCAAATAGACTACACTACAGTAGCAAATACACTACGACTTTTTCCAGTTTTGGTAATTTACCTCAACACGAAGTTGATAAACAAATGTGCTCGGCAATGGTGACTAAGATAACACTACAGACTGCGTACAGTACATGCATATATGACCACTGCTCGCTGCTGCCAGAATGTATACTAAGAAGATAAAGATTCCAGTACAAAAGTCTGGCTTTTTTCTCTTTTGTTACAACGATCTGTCCATCGTGCAAAAATTTCCCATGATTTTTGAGCCAACATCCAGAATCAGGACTGAGCAAATAAGATCGTACCAGACGCCAAAAATACATGACAGAACAGAACGGCAGAGCGACACCAGGTGCTCAAAGTTTCGTCTCAGAAATTCAAGTAGGATGGACATTAAAATATTCAGATCCAGTGGACCCAGAAATCAGAGCAGATGATGGTTTGTACAAAAAATGGCCCCGAGCTTGGAGTGCCAATCCAGTTTCTTCATTGGCAGCCCAGCCACCTACAGCTAGTTCTATGATCCGATCATCTGAGCTGGGGGTCGGTGTCTGAGCTTGGTGAATCAGTCACGTCTACTTCCGGCACCGACCAGTCCGCAGTGTAAGCTAAGAATCCACATTGCCTAACCTACAGCCAATAGTACAACACACCCCCCGAACAGTGCAGCGAGGGGTTCTATCATAACACACGATCCGACCTCTAAAGTATAGCTAGAAGACCTTTACAGCATAGAAAGAAAGAGAGAGAGATGATACTGAGCCCTCGAGGCCAAGCCAGCAGCCAAAGTCCAATTCCAGCTGACAGTTTTAATGATCAGCTCAGCTACTGCTACTGCTGCTGCTGCTGCTGCTGCAGGCGTAAGAAGGCTGAGATCGTCTCAAAACAATTTGCAGGACCACCATCGGGTGGCACCGTGTGAAGTTAAGCTCGAAATTCAGATACAAGGAATTGGAATTGATCGATGAAACTTTTTCATCATCATCATCTCGTGAAGAGGAGCACGGACACCACGACGGTCGCTGCGCTCAAGAGCAGAGGATGTCGTGGGCTCAGTGCGACAGAGCTGCTGTTGGACGGCGCTCCTGGAGTGCCAGGGGCAGCTCCCGGTGTCGACGGAGAGCTCGACGATCCGGGCACGGAACCGAGCTGAGAAGGCGCCGGTGCAGAAGAATAAGCTGATCCACACACACAATCACATGAAATCGTCAGCATAGGCCCCGACAAACCCGAAACCGCAAACATCCGAACGCAAATGAATACAACGAGAGGAGAGAGGGGTTCGTTCGCCCATTACCTGGGCACGTCGGTTCCACCGATTGCGTGTATCTGGAAAACGAACGAGACAAGCGCGTCAGTACAAATGACAGCAACGTCTGGAAAGCTCAGCCAGTATGGGCTCAATTGAGGCCTAAAATACAGGGGGCCAAAATACCAAAGGACATCCAGTACAATGTTTCGGGGGGCACAATCATTCAATCATTCACTCATTCAGTCGTGGCTTCGAAGTTCAGGCGGCCGGTGAACGATGGCAGAGGAGGAATCCATGGAGAGGATGTGAGGGGAGGGGTGGGGGAACTGACGGTTTTTCGACTTTGCCGGCGTTGATGAAGCCCTTGTACTCGCACGTGGTCACTTCGCAGCCCGTTGCGACGGCCTTGGTGGTGAAGTTGCCGATGGACAGGCCGGCGCTGCAGTCCAGGCTCGGGCACTTGGCCGTGTCCCTGGCCGGGTTCGGCACGCAGTTCATCGACGGCACCCTGCAACCAATGTCACCGTCCGACCACGTCAGTCACTCAGTTACTCAGTCAGTCATCTCTCAACCTCCTCGACGGCTACCACGACGACGACGGACGACGTAAGACCGACCGCTTGCGCTGGCGTCGGCCGAATTCGACCAAAAGTGCGACGGGAGCGAGCGGGTGCGGGTGCCGGTGGGGGTGGGAGGGTGCTTACGTCGCGTTGCCTTCGATGTAGCACTTGCATTGCACGCAGTCCTCGCTGGTGGTCAAGTTGTAGGCGCCGTTCGTCACCACGAGATTCCCATCCTGCGCTCCGCCGCTGAAGTTGGCCTTGCACGCTGCACCGAAATATCGACGACGAATCAGTCAGTCAGTCTTTCAACAATGCAATCTAATGTAATGCAATGTCGCTAGAACAAGCCCCTCCCCATCTTCGCCCGCAAACAAGCTCCAGCTCGAGCCGGGCTCGGATCAGGACGACAGCATTTGCCCCGCTAAGCACATTCATCGACCGAACAGCAAAAATCTGAAACTCTAGAAATCTGAAAAAATCTGAAAAGCAGAGGCTCGAAAGCAGTCTGACCCCACAGAATCCACATTCATCTAAACGATAAACCGAAGATCCCGACACGGTGTCGGAACTCGGGGCCGTGACTGACGACCCTCGACAGGGCGAGCGAGCGCTTCCCGATGCACGAGGGGTGGCCAAAAGTGAAGCACATTGAGGCCAGTGATTCTCTTCGGGGAAGAAGAGAGCCCCGTACAAGTACGAGCGCCAGCTTAAACCCTGGGACGAGGCGAAGCGAAACGAGGAGGAGACAAGAGAGCGGGAGGAGGAGATGGGTTTAGTGGGACGGACCGGCGAGGGGGACGCGGATGAGGCTCGAGGCAAGGAGGGCCGAGGAGTTGGTGATGTTGTTGAAGGTCTGGAGGAAGGAGGCGGAGCTGCCGAACTTGGTCGCGATTTCGCTGAAGTCATCGCCGGGCTGGACAAGGTACGAGAGGCCGATCCGGTAGGGCTCGGGCTCGGTGACATTGGGGCACGAGCACATGAAGGGGATGACGAGCTTCTGGTCGGGGAAGATTTCGTTCACGTTCTCGATCTGGTTCACGGCGGCGATCTCCGGGTATGTGGTCAGGCCCCCGAAGTAGTCGTCGGCGATCTTCGACAATGTGTCGCCCGACTTCACGGTGTACACGGTGCGGTTGGTCCTGCGCACGCTGGCGCCCGTGAAGGTCGAGCCCGAGCTGAGGCACTCGCAGAGCTGCGGCACCAGGAGCAGCGTCCCGTTCGCCAGCTTCGTGGTCTTCAGCTCGGCCGCCTTGGTGATGTCGAGGTTGTTGGCGCCCATGAGCTCGTCGAAGTCCACTCCGAAGAGGTCGGCGATGGTCTGCAGCGTCTCCCCCGGTTTGGCGAAGTAGCTGATCCTCGCAGGGCACGTCCCCCAGTAGCATCCCTCCGTGTAGTACGTCGAGTTGATCGTCTGCGCCGCAACCCCTGCGCTGCTCGATAGAACCACCAGCAGCCCGCACACTGCCAGCAGCGAAATCCTCATCCCTCCCATCCTCTCCCCTCCCCTCGACGAGTGGCGACCGAACTGAGCTGCGGACTCGCCCGTGAGCTCGAGCTCGAGCTGCAGCTGCCAAGGAACACGAGCCACGGTCTTAGTTTACAATTTACAGATTACTACAAATCGGCTCGAACGTCAAGACCGGCGGTCAAGCTGGGCAGTAAATTCCTTCACTCGTCATCCATTCGCAGCGGCGCGAGACGAGGTCGGCATTCGGTTCGAGCTGGCGGTCGTACCTCACTCCGGAAGACCGAGAGGCAGGCTCCTGTTTGTCTCTCGATGACCCACCGCCAAGTTGCGCTCGATCTCCAGTTGAGTCGGGTCGAGATGAAATGAGATGATGGTGGTGGAGAGGACTAATGAAGGAGACGAAGTCTGATGTGATGGACGAGAGGGAGGAGCGACTGTGGAAGAATAATGTGGATGCTCGGACCGACTCGGCTCGCCCTCGCTATGTAGGCACGAGCTATGGCAAATAGCTCGGCCACGAATTTCAACGAATTCGGTGTGCAGCGTGTGAAGGAAGGAGTGAGAAGGAGTGAGAGAGAGAGGCGATATGGCGACGAACGACAGAAGAGAGGGGAGGGCCGAGGAGGTCGAGGAGTGACGAAATCCACAGCGTCGTCTGAGGGCCCCAGAAATCAACTTTTCACGCCCTCGTCTGCATCTCTTTATGAAGGCTCTCTCTCGCTCGTCGGCTGCGCTAGGGGCAGGGCAGGGCAGGGCAGGGGCAAAGGCAGTGGCAAGGGAGAGGGGCAGTGCTGGGTTAGTACTACGCTACTGGCTGCTGGCTTCAGCTCTTCAGCTCGTGAGTGCTTCTGAGCTCTCGGTTATGATCTGTTTGGCTCGCGTTCGAACTTCTTCTACTCTCGATGGCCCTTTCTACGCCCCGACGACTGAGCACAACGCTTTCCGGCAAATCTACGAGCGCCAGCTGGTGGCGCCGGTGCAGTTCCCGGGGCTTGGGGGACGGGAAGGGGAAGCAGCGAGCGCCAGTCGCGCAGTCGCCGGCCAGTGGACTGCCGAAAGGGAAAGGGAAAGGGAGAGAGAGGGGGCTCGGAGAAGGGGTTTCCGGATCCGACAACGGAAGTCCTAGTTTAGGGGATTATGCGGATGACCCTCTAAATATGGACGTTAGGCCTGCCAGATCAGCAGATCACAAGCGCCACCGCTGCCATCTCGCGACTCGCGACGAACTGACTGACGCCCTGCTCCGACTGACTGACTGACTGCGGACAAGAAGCGCACAGCGGATCTCTGCTGTCTCCAGCGGACAAAGCCTGGTTATTTATTCACCCCCCCTCCCGGGGGCTTCCGAGCGGGGAGTAGATAAGAGAGTGGGGAAAGAGAGAGAGAGAGTTTGGTCCGCAGGGGAACTTTTCACCGCGGCCTCATACTGCGTCCTTAACTTCGTGTTTTTACCCGTACCTTAACGGTCCCTGGGGGACCCGGATCCGCCGGCCCGATCTTGGCCATAATTGCTCCGGCGAATATTTCTTCATTTTAATATTTACTTCCTATTTTCCCGGGCTTAAATTCATGCTGAGCCGTCCGATATGCCTTCCCATACATCGAACCGTCCGTTTTATGTCGTTTATAGTCTCGATAATTCAACATTTCGTCGAGCTGGCAAGCTCTGTCCCTGTGTCCTCGGCCGTTCTCGAGTTCAAATACGTTCGTATACCATCTGATCGTATTTCTGTGTATTTTTCTTCTTTGTTTCTTTCCTTCCTCGGGAGCTAATTCAACAATATAGATGCAGGAAACATCAGATCCCCACTAAAATCCATTGTTTTTAAATTCCAGTATCCATAATGAAGTTCTTTATATAAAATTTTTCTTTTTCGGAGTTAATTTTCACAGCATTCCCTTCCAAACTCATACATGGCCAAAAATATAGCATTTTTTTAATATTAATAAAATACTTAATTATTATAATTGGTAAAGTATAGAGTCATTTGACCCCCTTAAAAAATTCAAAGTATCGAGGAGAATGCAGCATTTTTCAACGCAATTAAATTGGAGGAATTGAATACCACAGATTGTGTTAGCCTTCTAGACACCAGAAATAATGCTACGATGTATATTATTTTTAAAGGTAGAAATCAATATCGGGTCATAATTCTTTATCCGAGAAAATTCTCAGCCGTGGGGTACGGAAAACCCTGGGCCGGAGGATGGAGGTTCATCCGATCCAGCCCTTTATCGAGGCACTATTTTATTCGCTCCGAGGAGGGTCCGTACGTACAGCTCAGCAACGACAAGATGGCGATGAACAAAAATTCTGGAGATCTTTAACCATACGGTCAGAATTTCACAGCCCCAGCCCTAAATGCTTGCCAGGCAGGGCAGGCCAGGGCCTGGGGCAGGGGCAGGGTCAGGCCGGGCCAGAACGGGTAAGTTTCGCTCAGGCGCCGCAAGGGGTCAATCACACTACCTTCTGTTACCGCGGCTCCCTGGAGTTTACTGCCGTCCCGCACCCGTTGCTCTAGTTAGTGCGAGCAGCGGGGGTTACCGCAGGGTAACGTTTCCGTTGAATCTCACCCGGATACACGAGATTATTATCATCCATAACTCTAACATAATTATACAGGTAAAGTAGAAAGTATGAGACTTATGATTTATCACAAAGGCACATACTCCCACGCAGTCTTCATGTTAGAATCACATAGAAAAAAATCAAACAAAATTCCTGTTATTCTCTTAGCAGACACTGAAACTGTAACAAAAAGTTCAGATTTTTTCACACCACCAAGGACTAAGATCACGGAGGAAAATGAAAGAAATAATTAGAAGAATTATCATAATTCATTTTTAAAAAGATCGTTAAACCTTTTTTTACTGCCACTTCTCTAATTTGCATTATATGTTACAAGTGCCTTCTGTCAATGGCATCTTGCATCCTTTGGTTTGTGTGAACAAACGGATTAACATTTTATTCGCTGTCTTTATTGTTCTACTGTCCGTTGGGCTCCTCAGGGTTTGGCGTCTTGCCTGTCGGGCCTTATCGGCTTACGAGAACAAAAAGCACGACGACCCGTTAGCACCTAATTAATTAGCCATTACGTGCCGAGTCTTGTGCTCCCCCATGTTCTCAGACTCACTCACCACGTACGCACATCCCGCGAACGTTTTCTCATCCCTCTGAACGGTTAACGCAAAATACGACGACGGAGAGCCGCACCGGAGAACGGCCCGGGTCCGGTTCCAAGCCCCCCGTCCCTCCCTCCCTCCCTGGTGGGTTGTGGTGGGGGTGGGGCTCCGTCGGCCCCCGTTCGCTCGCGCAGTGGATGGGATTCGGTCGTCGGTCGAGTTGGAAAGCTCGTCTTCAGCAACGAATGTCGCAATGGATCCATCGATCCATCGAAGATTCGTCGAGCTGCCTGGCACATGCATTGGAGCATGGTTCTTCGTCCCAAGCATGGACAGCAAAAAACAAACAAATACTTCTCGTGGTCAAGGAAGGCTGCCTCTCATCGATCCCATGGCGAATCTGACTTCAGTCATCTAAGATGACTCATCTTCCTTTCTGTATATTCCATCTGCCCATCCTTCTACTCTTTATTTTTGGCTATATTTATTTAGTTTATGTTTCAAGTTCACATCGTGTGCAAACACGTACGAATATTTTTCCCAGTTGCATAAAGTGAGGCTACTCTAACTTGCGTTGGACTGCAGAACTTGGAGAGCAAGCCTATACTTTGACTCACATTGTGTTTCTGGAACTTTCAATAGATTCGAGGGGACAGCAGCCATCGACTGGGATCAACATTGACTGGAGCGAGTAGAGTAGGCGACATTTAATCTGGTCTACAAAGAGTTTATTTTCATTTTTTTCCCTAAGTGTAGAGTATACAGATGTATTGACTCATCATTCAACATGTTAGTGTGAGAGATTTTTATACTAGATGGCAATTTCGTTGCTTCTTTTAGGTTATTGTGTAGTGATTTTCAGAGAATATGTTTTATCTCTTGAGAAATAATATAAGTGATTGCAATCGATAGGAGAAATATCGCTGAGGTCCTGAAGAAAGTCCTCGTAATCAATCGAAAAAATTTCATTACATGGACTCAATGTGTAAATTGGAATAAATTAGGTTGGACTAACAAAAAAGTTAATTGCATCCTTTCTCTAGTTATTTTGTAATATTTGTTGTCAAACTTTAGTACTTCGTCTAAATCAGTAAATGGTCGTTTAAAAGACCGTATACTCTAAAATTTTTTCACGACGTGCGTTCACAAGTACAAATTCCTTGACCATAAGAATAAAAGTGAAGTACTGATTTTTTTTATTACATGATTAGGCACCGTAATACACTACTTTGCATTCACATAAATCATACGAAACATTAAAAAAACAAGATAAAAAGTAAACATGATTACGATATAAAAATAAGTTAACATTGTTTAGCCTTTGAATACTGATATCTGCCAAAGTCTTAATAATGAACTGAATATGCCTTAAAAATTTTAAAAATCAAAATGATTTACTATCCATTGTAGAAAATAATGGTAAATGAAGCACTAAATTTTCACCACGAAATTATTTTATATAATTGATCATATTTTTATCAATGTCCATCATCAGCTTCATCACAATCATTTGAGATTTTTTACTTAAAAAAGTTATAATATAGATATTTATCCTCACGTTTTCACAGAAATCACACTTCACTCTTGAAATCGTTCACTAAGATATATCTTGAAGCCTTATCAACATAATGTCACTTTCAATTTTATATGACCTTAGTTTATTCATAGCCTTATAACGAGATATCTTCTTCATACCCTTACATTTTGTTACCAAACCAACTTCTCTTAGGATGATCCTTGTAATCATAAATTAATATCAACCTGTACACAGTATGAAATATTTGACCTAGATAAATTGAATGCCTCAGATCGAGTAAGAGTATGCTATCATTGTAATAGTTTAGTAATATATCCTTATGTTTCCCGTTGGAATTTTCCAGTGCACAACTTGATCATGTATTATTGACCAAAAAGTCATTTACCTGATCCCTTAAGTCCCCGTTTAACTCTGGGATTTGGCTTTTATCCTTTCATTCTACTCTCGTCCTTGTCTGCCAGTTTATCTGTACTGCCCGATCGGCCTTTACATCTTTTTACACTTTTACTGTGCCGCCATCTTGGGCTTCCTGTTCTTACCACCAGTGGTCATCTTAGGTGTCCAGCAATGTCCGTGCCGGAGAATAACTTGACCACAACAGTTCAGTTCTAACCCACGTGGTAACCTGCGCGGTTATAACTTTACCCGAATCTCCACCTGCAGCTGACCGAACCCCAAGCCCCGTGGACACGTAGAACCTCCGTAAAAAATACCAGTATACATATGTGTATAAGCCGTCGGATCGTACTTACTCTCGCACGCACGCACGCGGAGGGGGTCCCTTAAGAGCCGTTGCGACTCAGATTTGGCTGCATTCTGCGAGCCCCAACAGAAAAGTCGCCGGGTGGGGGGGCTCTGGATAAAGGCTGCGGGGGTTGCAAACAGTCGCGTTCGCTAGGGGCCCTCGCGCTTTACAGAGGGGACTTGACAGCTCTCAGCTGCCTGATGGTGGTTCCGCTGGTTGGTGGTTCTGTGGCTGGCCTGAAGGCGAGGCGAGGGCTGACTGACTCCACATGGACCGAGCGAGGACCCGTCCGAGACCTGGATCTGGACCTCGACCTGGACCTCGACAGGCTTCCTCCCTCCTGTGTCGCGCATTCATTGCGCTATCCTGTCGGCTTGCTATCATCGCTTCGATCGTTCGTTCGTTGGCGTGCTTTTTGATGAGTTGACTCTCGTAGACGCGAGGTGTGTGAACCTTTTTCCCCTCTGTGTGCAGATTTGCGATCCTGTAGTTACTTTGGATTTTGATGTACCCTCGAAAGGCAATTTTCAAAGTAGTTGTTTTCCAGTTGTTCGGTCATCTGCGTTTGCCTGCCTCGTTGCCTCTCGGCCAAATATCCGGACATCTCATTCGGGGGCCGAATCGAATGATTTCGCATGATGTTGGTCTCATTTACTCTCGGGAAACTTTGCCTTCCTTTCGTCCAATTCTTCTGCATCATCGTTAGAAGCAATTCAAGATCTTATTGGGAAGCAGAAAATTGTATCCACAGACTTTACATTCGTCGGTTTTTTTTTTTGTCTTCAATGAAAGCAAAATTGCAGTGGAACTTTATTTGAGTAGGAGGAGGATGGGAATGGTGTACTGATGTATCTTGGATTCACTCTCTTTGAACATTTGACTAGATGAAATCTTCCGTCGTACTCTTCTCGAAACACGACTTCTAAGTGCACGCGGAAAGAACATTTGAGGAATGCCAAATTTTAGAAACTCCGTCTACCGACAAGACTTCTCGAAGACTTGGCAAGACCGAAAACAAAAGTATCATACACTTTTGGTATATGATACATTTATATTTTCAAGTCCAGTCAATGCCTTCAGTCCAAACGCAGGGGTTGAACTCTTTGGACTAAAAATCAATAGAATGTGCATGTAACCATTCAATGATAAACAGTTTTTAGTGATGTGTATGTGCTGATTAAAAGCACATACCTTACCTTAGAGTCAAATCTTCAACAAGCGATGCGTATGCGATTTGTATTGGGCCCTACTTGTTGCTTTGCTCTGCTTTGCAGTTTCTTCCATGTACGGCTTGATGGGTCTTATTAGATTTTCTCTATACGTGTCCATGGTGTCAATTTGGGACCACATTATTTGGAGGAACGTAAAAGCATCCATGACCTGCTAGTCAACAGCGAGGGCGAAACCTTTCCTGTTTTGAAAGAATTGGCGACTAAGTTTTGTCATCTTCTATGGCAAGGACGAATAAAACATTTGCTTCGTAGTATTAGGGTACCCTATTTCTGAATCTTGTACCTGAAGATTCAATGACAAATATGTACCTTGCCTTCAACGACATTCATGTGTCACAGGTGATGATCGACCCACAATGATTTTTTGCTCAATGGGACAACAACGGGGCCTACACAATCACAAAAATTCTCAAAATAAGGTTTAGGTTGTTTTCTTTTCTCATTGCTTTCTGGAGGCGTGCCGGTCTGAGTGAATGTCTTCAGCATACTTGTCAGAACAAAGTTTTGAATACGATAGTGCATCTTTCAGGCAAGTGGACACATCAGAATATATACATAGAACATCTGCCTTTCTCGATCATATTGGGCCATTTACTCTGCAGTGCGGAATCAGGAAGATGAATTTGTCAAAGCTGAGCTGAATTCGAGTACCTACAGTCATTTTATACGGAGACGACACCGACATCTCTGTTCATTTCTCTAATTAATTAATATTAAAGTTAATAAAATCATCATGAAGTTTTAACTTCAGACAATTTGTCAAAGCCCCATTGCTGGCGCCAGTGATAAAATGTGAAACTCCATTGAAGGAATATTAGAGCAAGTTCGTTATTTTGAACAACAATATTGAAAGAAAAAACACACCAAAGTTTGGGGTTTTCCATATATATCAGTTATTTTTCACATAAATTACTCATGTATGAAGAGGACGTTATATCAAAGCTATAGCGTTCTCTTTGTAACAC